TCACTTCAGCTATCAAAGCATCGGTCTTTAGCCAGAGAACTCTCGGGAACTATTAAAGAGATCCTGGGAACAGCCCAATCTATGGGCAGCAGTGTTGATGGCCGTCACCCTCATGACATCATAGAAGACATCAACAGTGATGCTGTGGAAAGCCCAGCTAGCTAACAAACTCAGATGAAAATATTTCAATAAAGGATCATTTGTTAACCAAAAAAAAAAATATTCCTTCACAGAACACTACAGGGAACACAGAACGGTACCTATCCATTCTTGATCATCAACAGCAAACTTAAGAGTAAGAAATTTCATTAACAATAATTTTCTGAACTCAATTCCAAATGAATTATGTTCTAAATCAAGAGCCAAAAACTAAAGGTATTTTCACATGAAACAACTTGATGTTGAGTTTCTGAACTTATTTCCCCTTATGGAACATAAACATTAACATTGTCAGATATTTTTAAAGTAATTGAAAAGAGAATCATCCCTAAATTAGATTATGGTATGTGATGTTATTATATCTTAAAATTATACTTTGAATTTATTTATATAGGACAAAAAAAAACAAAACCCCAAAAACCCAAACCTATTGCCATCAAGTAGATTTCAACTCCCAGTAATCCTGTAGGACAGAGTAAAGCTGCTACAACTTTCTCCAGACGAGTGACTGATGGTTTGAACCACTGACTTCATAATTAGAAGCCAACATAAGTATGCATGTCTGGAAGGGTTCCCTCTACAATGACTTATAAATATTCAGCCTTAACATATGGAGTTTTACCACTGATACAACACTTCTCCATTAACAACCAAATGGAATCTCTAACAGGATGTACTTCTTTTAATGTTTATTAACAGTAAGCCACATTTTAAACAAAAGTAGAAAACATTTTCTACTTCCAGAAGAAATTCTGAACGAGATGGATTGATAATGTAGGAGGCAATGGGCTCAAATGTGTGGAGATGATGACACAGGATAGGACAGAGTTCAGATGTGTTGTTTACAGGGTCTTTAAGAGTTAAACTTGGCTCCTTGGTATCTAACACAGGAAAAATAAAGAAGATAAATTCAGTGAAAATTTTTTATCTAAATTTTTTCCTATCCCATCTGCCATCTTCTCCCTATTTTTGCCTTTTTATCTACTAGGTTTTTGGTATGAGGGGAAAGGTCACAGGACTCTTATTTGCATGAAAATAAGCTGGGAAGAGGACAGCTGGTAGCCTAGGGAAAAATATAACTGGATCAAGAATCTCACTCTAACTATTAAATACATCAGAAAAGATAAAAGACCTACAGCAATGGAATCAAATTAGTAGCGTACATATTGTGGAACTAATGGTGTCAGCAGAAGGGCTCACACTTACTCATTATCTCTTATGAGCCCAGTATGAGACAGAAAAGAAAAAAAAAATTAACAACAAATGAGACAGCCCAGTTAGAAGATTAGACAGAAGCCTAACTGGTCACTTCTAGGAAAGAAAGTAAAACTAGACACCAAACATTTTAACTTAAGTTTAATGAAAGGACTTCTTGCACACTTATTATGTGAAATAACCTAAAGTATTACAAAGAATGCAACTCAAAACACATACCCTTTTGCCTAAAAATCTAATGAGATGGATAAATCTGAGGTGGACATTTTATATTTTTAAATCCTATTAAAAGAATGTGAGTAATTTGAGAAAAATGACTGGAATGTGAGCTTGCCCTTTGTGTTTTGGCTTTTAAGAGAAACAGGATTTCTGAGCCAGATAAACCCAAAATGAAACCCAACGGTGTCCAGCCTAACTCTAACTCACAGTGACCATACAGAACTGACCAGAACTGCCTGTTCTGTTTCTAAGTTTCTAAGGCAGAATTCTATAAGGAAGCCGACTCTCTTATCTTCTTCCTAAAGCTAGCACAATCTCTCTAAAACTGTCAAGGAGTTGATTCTGACTTTCCAGCAGGTTTCTGAGATTGCAAATCATAACAGAAGGAGATTGCTCATCTGTCTTTCTCAGAAGCCACCGGTGGATTCATATTGGAGATAGGAGGTCTTTGGATTAACAGTGCAATTACACCAGCTTCTTTCTCTAAAGAAAAGGGGGTGGGGGGAGGGCTACAGACTCCATCAGAGCTCCCACTTTTAAAATTCACACTAGCTGTTATTTCCATTGTTAAATTTTCTCAACCATTCCTATCATTGATTGGATAAAATTTAAAGTTAAAAAAAAAATTAAAAAATTAAAGTTCATTCAAATTTCAATATCTGCTTATTTATCAATTCTCATTTTCTATTATTTTTATTATGCCTCTTCCCCCCCCCTTGAAAGTACACACTTCTCAGCAATTTCCAGAACATAATGTGCCACAAAATGCTTTCTTTCAGCCTTGTAAATTAATGTCTTCCTGTTACTTTGAATCTCCCCACAAATCATACTTGCCCTGTGAAACTTTTCTTGATTTCTTCAGTTATCTTTATTTACTCTGCTAAGGCTGTCTTTGCTGAAACATGATTGTGTTTTTCTAAGATGCTTGAGGATGGAGAAAATGTCATATTTGTTTAGCAATATTTAGCAGATTAGAGACATACAAGAAATAAGCTAATGAGTAAGAACAGCTTACCACTACCAAGAGGGGCTTCCGATTAACGGTAACCTTATAGGAATGAGCAGACTGTCCCAAACTGTTTCCAAGGCAGGGGCAGATTTCCACATCTTTCTACCACGTATTTATTTGTGTTCCAATTCCTAACCTTAATTTAAAAGTCTGACACTTAACCCACCACACTACCAGAACTCCTTAAGAGCTATCTAGCTGATTGTTATGGAGTTGGAACCAACTCATAGCCAACCCTCCAGTAAATTTTCAGAGGCTGTCCATCTCCTGAGGAGAACTGCCCATCTTTCTCCCCAGAAGCCCTATGTGAATTCATTCAAATAACTTTCCTTGGGGTTGGCAGCATAACTACATATCCAAACACTCAAACTTCATAAAAAATTTTAAGTAACTTGGAAGGGCTACCCCATTTCTTTCTCATCATAATTATGATAAAGTACTACTAGCATTCTTATTTCACTGACAAGGAAATAAAAGAGCAAGTAAGTTAAGCAATTCACCCAAGATGAGAATTTTCAAACTCTAGGTAGTCTACTACTACAGCTCATGTTGTTTAACTAGTTTAAGTATGATAAAGAAACATACAAGCACACATAATGGAGATGGATTAATTACTGGGAAAAAAGTAGTCACCCCAATGGGCTATGAAAAAAGATAAAATGGAGAAAGTATAATATAAAATACACTGAGACACTAAACCCCAAAAATCAATCTCACTAACAGAGTCGATTTTGACTCATAGTGACCTTCTATTTAGTTTCCAAGACTGTGAATTCAATGGGACGAATGAGCCCATCTTTTTCCAGTGGAGGCTTCAAACTGCAAGAGACACATGGCTTTTGGTTAGCACCACACACACTGTAGACCATATCATCAGACTGTCACACTGAGAAATATAGGCTAGAAAAAGCCTACTTTGTGGTTTACAGACTGCAATTAATATGTAGACTGGTGTTAATTTAAAAAGTCAAAACTTCTCTTAGTTTAAAAAGTCAAAACTTTATGTAAATTCTCTAATCCTAGGTAGCTTATCCCAAATTGTATGCATATAACTCTAGTTTCCTGGATCATTAAAGGAAACATCTCAAAAGATATTCTTGTGGTAAAATGACTTGAGGAACTGCTAGATTAAAAAAAAAGAAGCAGGTTTCTTTACTAAGAACTTGAAAAGTTGTGAGTCTTAATATGTAATTTCCCCAATTCTACTTGAACCTAGAACTCTTCTGTCAAAAAACATCTTATAGGCTCAATAGGACAGTTTGAGATCTCTGTTGGGTCTACAAGGATACTTTAGAACTAACTCTGGCTTATTCATCTCCACGACAAATGAGGTCCAATTAAAACAGAATTTAGGAAGCATGTCTCAAAATAAAGAATTTAAGAAGTAGAATATATAGGAAAGATGGAATGTTCTCTTGGACCTCTATCCAAAAAGTTACTCCACACGCCTTACAGAACTTGTGTATAGTGCTAGAGCTGCCCTTAGCCAAGTTTGACTTTTCAGTATATTATTTGTACATGCATGTCCTTTCAATTGATTACGTTATTCCAGAAGAGGTATTTTATTTGTTTGTACAGAGCACCAAACACAGTAAAAAGAAAAAAAGACCCTCACAGTAATAATTACCTAATAAAATGCATTCAAAAAATAGTATTAAAGAAAAGGTATAACAAAAATGTCAAAAGAAGTTATCCTCTATTATGCCATGACACATGACACTGTACAGTTTGACAAGCCAGTATACCACTGCAAGAGAGTTGAGAGTGTATTAAACTAAATTAAGTACTTTTACAAGGTCAAACTGTAATTAATTAGCGACCTCTGATCAATGTATGTGGTAGCATATCTTACAATTTAAATTTACATTGAAATAGTTTAACTATTTCAAGTAAAAAACTCACATTAGGATATAAAGTTGTTAAAAATATTTTAGAAATGTTCTAACGACCCGTATTTTAGACCTTTTCTAAACAGCGCAAGATACTAGGAAAGTAACTATAACTCACCAACTACCAAATTCATCAAGGGGAAAGAAATAGCATAAGATTACAGTCAAATATAATCTAACTCTATTTTCTACAATGACTCCACACATATCTATTGACATTCTGGCACCTTTCATATCAAGTACATAATCTGTCACCTACCAATCAGATATCCTGCTGTTGTTAACGGGGAAAGGGGAAATGAAATCTGACTTTAGGCTATATTTCAATTAATTCCTAAATCATAGTAAATTTAAAATAACAGCATAAACTTCGTATTGAAAACCAAAACATCCTCCATTTAACATTCTTTTAAAAAGTTGCTTTCAAAGTTTAATCTTTTAATTATTTTAACTTCAAAATTCACTGAAAACCGAGTCGTTCAAACAGAAAAGAAGTTTTCTTTCCTTACCTATTCGGTCAAATGTTTTATCACACTTAGGACACTGCAATATTTTTTTGTTATTGTTTTGAATGATTACTGGGGTTAACCCCTCACGAATATTTTGAACAGAATCACCAGCCCCAGGCTCCTCTTCTGCATCATTCTGATCCTTTTCACTTTGTTCTTCAGTGTCAGTATATTCATCTGACATCTCCTCATCTAGCCCATCTTCCTCAGCATTATATTCACTTCCAAGATCCTCTGAATCATTCCTGTCAGACTTTTCTTTATCAAAGTTCTCCTGGTTCAAATTGTCTAACCCATCACCACTTTCTGGTTCATCATCACTAGTAACATCAAACTTCACTGGGCACTTCCGATTCCTTTTTGATCTTCTTGCGGAAAAACTTCTCTCCAGCATTTTTAACCCATGTTTTTTCCCCAATAATAGGGATCTATGAGTCTTTGCCAAATGGTTCTCTAAGGACTTTTTATAACAAAAATGGCTATTACAGAATTTGCACTGATGATTAGATAATCTTCCAGTTAATTCACTTAGGGTATCTTCTGGTGATGACTTTTCAGTTAATTCCGATTGGAAACTGGCAACATTTTCGTTATTGAGTAGTTTAACGGCATCAATTATGTCCAGAAACTTCGCAGCCTCTAGTACAAGAGGAATTTCATATTTGTACACAAAAAATTCGGATGTGTACAGAAACTCGAGCAAATGCTGAAAAACTGAATGTGTTACATGATCCAGAGTGACAACATCAGTGCTTGGGTTTTTGCTCAAACATGCGTGAAAATAGCTACTGCCCACAGCAACGACTACTTTGTGCGCGTTAAATTCTTTTCCTTCGACTATGATAAGTAAATCACAGAAAGACGGTTGCTTCTGCCGGTCATCATTTAGATACTTCAGTAAATTCTTATTGTACTGCAAAGAACTCAGAAGCTTTCTCTGATCTGGAGAAGGGGGGAGGTCCTGGTAGCAGGGAAGAGCTTCAGGAGTTGGTCTTCTTGTAGGTGGAGTATAGGCTACTTGATCATCACACTCCACTGCACCATTTCCTCCTGAAGAATTCTTAGGATAGCCTAGATGGATCTTCTCGTCAAGACTTGAAGTAACCTTTCTCCTTTTCTTCATTGCAGTACTGCAATTTCAGAACAAGAAACTTCCTAAGTGTCTTAAGTGATTCATAAAGGAAAACTAGATTGTCTTGGGTAACAGCTTCTGGAGGGGCGTGCCCGAGGGTTTCATGGTCTGCAAAACAGCAAGAGCCACATAAAATAACTCCATGGCAAAGTAATCCTGTATCATTCGATCGTATTCCACAATGCATCCTTTCTAAATCAGAACTAAATGATGGTAAAAGTCGCAGTTCACCACACTCACATGCGTGCCTAAAATCTCAGAGCGGACAACAAGGAGGGCCGGGTTAGGAAAGACAGCCAACAAAAGAATATTTTTTTTAAGGAAACCAGGGCACACCTTTCAGGCCTGATATAGGGACAGGGCAGAAAGAATAGGGCAATAGGGAGGGAGCCCTCCGAAATCGTTGGCGGAGCTGTTTGAGGGGGGCTGCAGTCGTGGTTTGGGGGCAGTAGGATGGTGACAATAAGGCCGTCGTGGCCGCGAAATCCGAATAGCTCCACTATCATTCTTTCCCAGGGCGTGCAAGACGCAGCTCCGGAGGGACAGAGAGCGTCCCGGGGCTAAAACTACCCGGCAGGAGATCGCCCAGAAAGGGGCTCGGAGCAGGAGTGGGGTCAAACTGAGGGATGACTAAAGCTAGCAGAAGAGCCTCACTAGGCCCTGCTAAGGCGGAGAAGTCACTTGCCAAGGACCAGCTCCCTACCCTTCCCGCCCCGATTCCCCTGGACACACACCCCACAGATCTATTACCGGGAACCCAGGGCTCCCCCGCTGGCTCCCAGCCGCTGAGCTCCACTCTGGGCGCGCTCCCTCCAGCGCCTACCCACTTCCGGGTTCAGCCCCCCACCTCACCCCTCCCTTTCGCTCCTTCCCCTCCCCGCGGCCCTCCACCTCCTCAGTCCCCGAACACGTCAGCCGCGCGCAGCCGCCTACGGGCCAGGAAAGCCCGGCCTGCTGCGCTCCGTCTGCCACTGCGCATGTGCCGGCCTCTTCCTTTACGCATGCTCCATAGATTCTACTGACTCTCGTGGGGGACCCTAGCTACTCCTAAAATCCGGTGCTCCAGGTTTTCCCGGTGGCCTGGGGGCGTTGGTGTAACTGAGCGAGGTAGTGCATTGCTGAGAAAGGAGCGTATGGATGAGGAACTTGGAGGGTCTAGGGAGAATAACAGCATTACTACAGAATGGATTTATCTTGTTATTGCATTTTGAGGGCGCTCTGGTGGCTTAATCTGTAGGGGACTTGGATAGATCCATAGAGACCATAACACAATACTGGCTCCTATCAGCGGTTTAAATCCACAGGCAACTCGGCACAGGTCAAAGATGGGCAATTTCCTTCAGTGCGGTTTACAGCCTTAGAAAACCCGAGGGAGGATCAGCTACAAGTCTCATTTGCAATGATTGAAAGAATTTCTATTCGTTGGCTTCCCAGAGCCTGACCTAACAAACACACTCAAGTGCGTTTTTAAAAACCGGTCTTGACGTCATTTAGTTATTATTTTTCATTTGTTTAAACAGCAAACTCTTTAAAACTTTTTTTCATGTTGTTGTGTGCCATCGAATCGGTACCAACCCATAGCTGACCCTCAGACCAGTTTTCAGAGGGAGGAGACTGCCCATCCTCCTCGCAGCGCAGCTTCTTGCCACCAGAGCTCCCTACTGAATTAAAAGGGGGGGGAAAAATCTACGTGATTGTAAGTGTGCCAGTAGGGAGCTTGGGTGGCTTAGAGGTATGTAGTTTTGCTGCCAACCTAAAAGCAAGCAGTTTGTATCACGTGCTGCTTCTCTGAAGAGAGGCAATTCCTGTGAAATCTACAACCTCAGAAAACCCTTAGGAGAGTCAACTGAGTCAGTTCCAATTAGAAACCACATAACAACAAGAAGAACAGTAGGTTAGAACACGTTATCATCCAGATGGTTGAAACTCATAGTAAGTAGCCTTCTGTCAGGTTTCCTTGACTCTAAATCACAACAGGTGGACCAAGCAAGTGGTGTGTTCGAACAGCCAGATACATAGAGCCTTTGGGTTAGAAGCACAAGTTCCTGCGAGGTAGGCCACCAGCAAGCCCTACTAGGACACAAAGAAAAAGCAAAACAAATAAGCAAAAATGAATTAATAAATCCACAAGGAAGATTTTTTAAACCAGTGCCTGAGATTCTGCATTTCTAGCATTCTGTGTGGGATTATGTATGTCGAGAATGTATGTTGTTGTTATGTGCTGTTGAGTTGCTTGTGACTCACAGTGACCCCATCTACAACAGCCCTACACTCTGGTCTGTCCTGTGCCAATCGCACTGTCTCTGACATTCCCATGCCGATTACCCCAGTCACTGAATCAATCCACCTCATAGAGGGCCTTCCCTTCCTGGGCCATCCCTCCACCCTACCAAGCGCGATGTCCCTCTCCAAGGACCAGTCCCTTCTTAACAACATGTCCAAAGTATGTTAGACAGAGCCTTTTCCATATTTATGTTAAATATGGATTATGCTCACATCTGGATAAGTAGTAAATCATGATAAGTAAACAGCATCATCATAAGCAGATAACAGTTTAAAGTTTCCAAGAATTTCAGTTTCCTTGGAACCTCAATCAACACCCATGGAAACAGCAGTCAAGAAGTCAAAAGGTATATTGCTTTGGTCAAATCTACTGTCAAAGAGTTCCTTAAAGTGCTAAAAAGCAAAGAAGTCATCAGTTTGAGGAATGAGGTGCCCTTGACCCAAGATATAATACTTTCAGTTGTTTATATGCATGTATAATTTGGACAATGACTAAAGAAGAATCTATGCCTTTGAATTTCTGTTTTAACAAAGAATACTAAATATACTTTTATCTATATAATATACTAATATGTCTTTTGGACTGTCAAAAGAACAAATCAGTCTCAGAAGAAGTGATGCCAGAATGGTCCTTAAAAAGCAATAATGATGAGATTTCATCTCCCATATTTTGGTTATACACTCAGGAAGAGCCAATCTTTGGACAAATATATCATGCCTAGAATGGTAGAAGGTCAGTGAAGAAAAGAAAAACTTTCCAAGAGATGAATTAACTCAGTAACTGTAACAAAAACTTGAAACACAGTCAAGAGTGTGAAGGTGGCACAGGATCAGGCAATGTATACTTCTATATATTGAGTTGCTATGAGTTAGAGTCAAGTTCACATTACAACATCATACACTCAAATCACCTTTTCTATTTTGATGAAATTTATTATTAGTGGTAAGAAGCTGTGCTTCAAATTTGAAGGCATGTAGTTTGAATCCACCAGCTGCTCTATGGGAGGATGGGCAATCTCCTCCCCCATTAAGAACTGTCTCTGAAAACCCACTGGATAATCAGCTATGAGTCGAGTCTGACTCCACTGTACACAACAACAACAAGAATCTCTTCCTCACAGTATGCTTTGACTAAAAATCTTCATAAAATAGCTCTATGAGTAATCAAATAACAGAAACATAAGTAGGTAGCAATAATTAAAATTATAGTTATATATTTTTTAAAATCCACTACTTGCTGCCATTGATTCTAACTCATGGTGAAAACATATATGTTACAGAGTAAAAGCATTCTCCATGAGGTTTCAAAAAGCTATGCCTTTTCAAAAACATTCCCAGACCTTTCTCCCAAGGCTCCTTTACGTGTATGCAAACTACCAACAATTTGGTTAACAATCCATCATGATAAAAGTTTGCACAGCTCAGGCCACCAATTTAGACAAAAGAGCTTAACTAAACAGCATACTGCATTCTTTAAAAATGGACAGAATTGGCAGAATAAAGACAAATCTAGGATTATAGTGTTTTTATTTTTAAAAACAACTTTTCAAAACTAGAACATTTTAAAAAATTATTAGATATATTTACCTACTCAATACATGTGAAATATTGCACCCTACAGCTATAGATTACACATTATTTTTAAAGAATATGAAACATTTAAAAATCTATCATGTATTAGGTTATTAAATAATAAAGCATTATTATTATTTATTATTATTAAATAATAAAGCAATTATTGTTGTTGTTGTTACATCCCATTGAGTCACCTGTGACCCTATATACTGCACCTCTGTCCTGTCCTGAGCCAGTCTCACTGATTCAAAGTCACCTAATCTCGTTACCCTAGTTACTGTATCAAACCATCTTCATCTGGGGTCATTCTCTCCTGCACTGTCCCTCCACTCTTCTGAGCATGATGTCCTTCTCCAAGGATTGGTCCCTCCTGGCCATGTGCCCAAAGTATGTAAGACAGAGCTTCAAAATCTTAGCCTCCACAGAGAAACTTGTCTCACCCTCTCCAAGACAGACTTACTTGTTTTCTTGGCAGTCCATGGTATATTCAAGAATCTTCTCCAGCACCACAACTTGAAAGCATCAATTCTTCTTCTGTCACCTTTAGTCATTGTCCAGCTTTCTGATCCATAGAAAGTAATGGTGAAGACAATGGCCTGGATTAGGCACACATTTGTCTCTAGACTGACATCGTTGCTTTTCAATATTCTGGCGAGATCCCTGACAATAGATTTTCCCAATAAAATTCATCTTTTGATTTCTTGACGGCAACTGCCAAGTGTTTATTGTGGAGCCAAGTAACCTGTAATTGTTAACAACCTCAATCTCTTCTCCTCAATCTCTATCACGGTGTTGCCAATCGGCCTAATGGTGAGAATCTTTGTCTTCTTGATGTTGAACAATGAAATGAGCATCCTCTTGATTGAGTTACTGCCTTTATAATCTGCTTTTTAAAAAAAAAAATGTAAACCCTATGTACAATAGATCTCTGGTAGCCTAGTGGCAAGAAGCTGTGCTGCAATCCTGAAGGCACCAGTTCGAGGCCACCAGCTGCTCCACAGGAGAAGAATGGACAATCTCCCACTGTGCTATTAACTGCCTCTGAAAACCCACTGAAGGATCTGCCATGGGTCAGTGCCGACTCTTCTGTACACAACCACACAACACAACATCTACAGTAGAAAAGATAAAGCAATTATCAGCAAATTTTTAAAATATGGCAATTAGGAAAATATAATATAATTAGCTTGTCAATGAATATC